CTGAGAAGATTGTTTTGGTTTGTACCAAAAGGAACTATGATAAAGTTGATTATGTCTTAGTCTCAAGGTCTTCCAAATATGGTACAAAATGCAGAAGCCGTAAAAGAACAATTTGAGGTCAGGCATGGCATGCATGCCTTTAATCTTAGCACTTGGGAGGCTGAGGCAGGTCAATCTCTGAGTTCCAGGCAAAGAGCCCATCTTAAAAAAAAAAAAAGGAACAATCTGAGTAATATATTACATAAGAATATCTGCCATAAGCAGCATCCACATAAATGATAGGTAAGAAAAGTGTTGCTCTTCAGATGGTGGGACTTTCACAAATCAAAAAGATGAGTTTATGTGAGCAGTAAAGGAAACTGATCTCAGAGGAAATGTAAACTACTCTTAGCTATGTGGAAAGGCCTTAGTTTACTCATGAAAAAGCTAAAGTTTCAGCGCTTGAGGTGTGCTGAACAGATGGCAGTTCCATGCTGTGCTAGTGGGACTGTCACCCAGTGTCTTTGTCTTAGGAAGGGTTTGTTATCTGTTACACGGCAAACTCATCTCGGGCTCAGCGCTCAGTTGTCAGCGGTTGTTCTGTCGATAGACAAGCGGCCATGCGGAGGAGCGCATATGTAACATCAGTGTTAGCAGTCACTGCAGCTTGGAGCCCACTGTGGTACCTGCATTGGGTCCTTTAAAATCTTTCTCTTTTCTTCTTCTTGGTTTACTAGCTCCTGGTTTACTGTTTATTTCAGAGTACTATTTGAAAATTAGGAACAGCCAACCTTGTCAGTTGTAATCAGCAGAAATCTATATTTGCAAATTTAATCAGGAAAAGAATGTAATGAGAAAGAATATTGGGTAACAGTTGGCACTTGCAAAGCTGGAAAGCTCAACTTGGAAAATGGCAGCCAGTATGAAAGATTCGAATCTGTGTAGTATGGATTCTTTGAGACTGTTTGAAATGTCTTTGTAATGGAGTATATTAAAATATTTGAATTTTCTTGTTTTCTTTAAGTAATAAATACTCTGTTTATTGAGTGGACACACATATAGGTAAATATGACCAAATGTAATATTTTTATTGCATATTTTCTGTTTATTTTTTATTGCCTTTTCAGTTTACCTAATGCGTGTTTTTAATTGTGGTATATTAAATTTCTTACCATAATTTCATATCAATTTCTCCCTAAAATTTTGCTTGTTTGCTGTGTTGTAGGTTCATATAAATTCATAACTGTTATCTTTTAATGAATATTTTGTGTTTTTAGGTAAGTAAGGAAGTACACTAGTTTCCTTTTTGTTATAAAATGCTGGTCCAAATCAAGTGAGGGTAGAGAGGGGGTTATTTTAAAAGCCTGTGGAAGCAGGCACTGAAGCAGAAACCACGGAGGAATGCTGCTTGCTGGCTCAGTACAGACTCCCACTTAGTTAGCTTCCTATACAGCCGAGGACACCTGCTCAGAGTCTGGTGACTGCATGTTCCTCCAGTGGGTCCTCCTGCATCAGCTCACAGTCAAGACCATCTTCCACAGACATGCCAGGAGGACTTTTTCAAGAGGGGCACCACTGAGTGCTTTTTGTAGGAGGGGAGAGAGATTGGCCTTAATGTTGGAAGCACTGCCCCTTTAATCATTAAATAATTTCTCCTTTTACTCCTATTCACGTGTCTCTTCCATCTTTGCCATGCATCTGTGGTGCCGTGTTAAGCAGACCATTAGACCCACAGTTGCCTACCTCAGTTGTAGACTAGATAATGCCAACTGTAATGTTGTTGTGAAAGTTTCACTGACAGATGTGTGAAGTATCTTACCTGTAATAGGATTTCAGTACATGCATTTGAAGTACTTTTTTTTTTTTTAAAGATGTTTTTGTGATGAGTGTTTGGCCTGCAGGTGTTTGTACATAACATGCGTGTCTGGTGTCTGTGGAGATCTGGAGATGGCTTGGGTCCCTTGGAACTGGAGTTACAGATGGCTGTGAGCCACTTTGTAGGTTCTGGGAACTAAAGCCAGGTTCTCTGGAGGAGCAGCTGATGCTCCTAACTGCTGCACCATCTCCAGCCCCTGAAGTACTTTTTCAAAAGGAGTTTTGCTATCTTTTCTCTTCTTCCTTCTCTCTTTTTAAGCACAGACTTTTAAATGCACGTGCTTGTAAGTGGAGTGTGCTTTGGGTATGCCTGGAACGGCCGTCAGGTCCTGAAGTGGGTGAGGGTGATAGATTGTCTTCCACACTGAGAGCAGGGTGTCGTCTTAGTGCAGGGAGAGCTTGATGTCACCCTGTTTAAGTGTCTTCTTTATTCTTCAGTAACCTTTCTTTTGGAAATATTTGAGACAACTGAAAAAGGACAAAGGGCTTTTGAAGAACTTAGTTTTTCTAGAAGCAACAGTGGTAGAGTTATCAGTAAACATAAAACTATAACTATAGTCAGAGCACTAAACATCTGGGGGTACAAGCTTTTGTCATATTTACAGAAATGAAGTGGGTACCCTCTACTCTTTTGAAAATAGATTCTTGCTTTGTAGCCCAGGCTATTCTTGGATTTATGCTTGCAGGGATTCCAGGCATGTACCGCCATGCTTGGCTCTTCCTTTTTGATAACATTTAAGACTTACCTATTGTTCCTGTTCAAAACCAGCTTGGTCTACATAGTGAATTCCAGGAGAGCTATATACTGAGACTCTGTATCAAAAAACAAACAAAAAATAATTTTTTTTATGTGATTTATAATGTGGTAGTCAGTGGTAGGACATTGCTATGGTTTCTCCTTACAAAACCCTATTTAAAAGTATTTTCCTTTTCCTCCAGAGTTTATATTCAGAGCACCAATCAAATTAAGCAAGCCTGGAGAACTTCGTGAGGAATATGAATGCCTAAGAAAGGTACAGTGTACATATTAGCACAATGTTTATTTTCTTCAAGTTAATTGAAATATTGATGTTAAAGAATGCTTACTTTTGATTCATTGGGTCTTTAAGAATTTACAGTTCATAGTCTATCTTTCTACATATTATTCTATACCAGCCTATATAGATTTAAAGCTACACTTGAAGTAAACTTAGCTAAGAACCCTTTTGAGTTATCTTTTCACAGATGAAAGTGTAGCTTATAGGGGCCATCATACTCTACCAAGAAAAGTGCTCTTGAAACTTAGCACAGCTCTTGCTAATAATTGTTTGTGTTATTCTTCTTTGCAAGCACGTCTAGTTACTTGTAGCTACTGTTATTTTTGTAGCTTTTACTTTAGTTAAGTACTCCAGGAGAGTTATAATGGAGGCCATAGGGCATATGAAACATTCTCTTTATTACAAAATATTTACTATTCAGGAAGCTTTTAGTTGTGTTATCATAATCTTTTTTTCCCCCCAATATTAGAGATTGAACTGAGGGAATGGCGGATATACTCTGCCACTGAGCTCCAGCCTGCAACTGTTGCTTTTTTTGTTTTAATTTCAAACTAATTGTCTGAGACTGGCCTGTAGAAGTTTGATGTCAACCCTCCCTAGTCCTCCCCCTGCATTACCACTGCTCACCTGGGCTTGTAAATACTTAGGTAATGATTCTGCATGTGGGCATTTACTTTATAAAGGTGAATGATCTACTTAATCAGAATTGGGCACTGCCATAGATTAGAGGCAAGATGGAGTGATTGATGTTCTCAGAGTGACAAATGCCAGGAAGAAGCGGCTCCAGGAGGAAAGGGTTTGTTTTGTCTCACAGTATGGAAGGATACAGTCACTTATGGTGGAAAGGGCATGGCTGCAGGTGGCCATGTGGTGACAGAAGCGTGGGGCAGCTGCTTGCTCATACTTCTACAAGAAAGACAGGAAGTAAAGCTGGCTAGACACAGCAGCAGCTCATTTCTTCCATCTAGCCAAGTATACACACACACACACACACACACACACACACACACACACACACACACACAGAGTGTAAATGAAATGATATATTTTTATTATTCAGATATTTATTGAGCACTTGGTATGAGTCACTGGCAATAGAGTATAGAAGAAGACTCATACAGTCCTTGCCTTCAGGGAGATTCCTTTTTGGGGGTAAGACAAGAAATAAGCAATCATGACTGAACATGATAAGGCAGTCTGAAGTCAGAAAGCAGTGGGAGGGAACAGTAGAGCAGCTTTGGAAAGAGTGGTTAGGGACGTTATTTCAGAGGAAAGACAGTCTTGAAGGAAGCAAATCAGGTAAAGCATGAGAAGCCCCCAGAGGCCTAGAGACCAGCAGTCTGGCTTGTTCAGTGCGCAGGGACCTCAGTGTGTCTGAAGCATACAAACGGGAGCAGGGCAAAAGCAGGTGAGAGGTGCTAGGAAACGAGTTGAGAGATGTTGAAGGGCCAGGTCAAAGAAGATGGAGTTAACCTGGTAAAGATCCTAATGGGATGTGGCCAGTGGAATCTTACATGTAACGTTAAAGCATCTCTGGTTACTGTGTTAGAAATAGAATAGGCCAACAAGTCCGGAATTGTATTTATTGTAAATAGTAGAAACTCTAAATAACTCAAAGTAAGTAAGAATAGATTTTTTTCCTTTTGTTCTTGCCATAAAAACAAAGAAAATGACTATGTGAGTTGATGTAAGTATGTTAACTATCTTACTGGCTATGCATATCCTATGGTATCATGCTATATACACCTTAAATACACCAGTAGGAAATTATTTTAAAGCTAATAAGGCTTTTATTATCCTCTGGTAACACAAACACGGGGGAAAGGTAGTTCAGGGCAGAGCACAGCAGCATTATGACCCAGGGCTCTGAATTACTTTGTTTTTTCTGTTTACATATCTCCACAAGTGCTGTTTTCCTTGTGTGAGCTGGGTGATCCTGCTAGAGACACATCTATTGGGTGAATTGGGTCCTTTGAAAGGGCTTTCCCTGACTCATCAGAATTTTAAATTCTAATGTCACAGATCCCTGTTGCTAGGGAGCCTGGGAAATTTAGCATTTTAGCAGGTGCACTAATTTCCTGAGTAACATCAGGATTTCTTTAGTAAGAAAAGAGAGCATGGCTACTGGCTGAGAACTTGCAGTATCTGCCTCATACAATAGAAATAAGACCAATAAGAATACTTCTTGTTGTAAGCAATGTTAAGTTAAACCACTGTTAAAGTTTTACCAGAAGTTTGGTAGAAAGGGTACAGTAAATTAGAAGATGTGTATAAGGAAGGTAATATAGTTGCATGTTGTTGTTTTGTTTTAAATACAAGTCTTACTGTGTAGCCCAGGTTGGTCTTGTACTTGGTCCTTCAGCCTCCCAAGAAGGTGAAATTATAGGTATGTGGCACTGTGCCCACTAGTTATTAAGGCTTTGGGTCGTGGATCTAGGTTTATTAAAGAAGGGAGTTAAAAGCATAATGGGAGTAAAGTTGAAAAGCTAGGATGTGGTGGTCTAAATGTGGAAGGCTTAAAGGGACAGTGATTTCAGGAAGCTCTCTCTCTCTCTCTCTCTCTCTCTCTCTCTCTCTCTCTCTCTCTCTCTCTCCCCTTCCCTCTCTCTCCCTCTCTT